GATGGGCAAGCAGGCCCAGGAGACAGTGGGCAGGGGGAGGCTGGCACTGTGGGCTGTGTGAAAGCAATCGCGGTCTGCCACCCGAATGCTTTCATCTGACAGGTGAGCCCTGCTGCTTGCCCGCAGCAGGGCTAAGGGTTTAAAAAAAACTAACTTTTACCAGCGTCCTGCATGTCCCGGGCATCGGGCGATATGAATTCAACATTCCTGTTTAGCTTTTACTTCCTGGAATCCATCTGCCCCGAGGTCAGGCATGCAGGCAGGAGGGTGTTGTTAAGCTGAGAAAACCCCTCCTCCACTTCTCCCCTCCTGTAATGAAAGAAAAAAATGTCTGTGGAGACTCCTGGTATGTATGACATCATTTTGGTCTACAGTTGCAAGAAAAAGTATGTGAACCCCTTGGGATTACGTGGAGTTTTCTGCATGAATTGGGCATAAAATGTGCTCTGAACGTCATCTAAGTCGCAACAATAGAAGAACACAGTCTGCTGAACATAATACTACACAAACATTAGATGTTGCCATGGTTTAATTGCACATAACATGTAAACATTCACAGTGCAGGGAGGAAAAAGTATGTGAGGCCCTAGCTTAATGACTTCTCCCAGAGCTAATTGGAGCCAGGAGTGAGCTAACCTTGACTCCAGTCAGTGTGATGATATTGGATGTGTTGCTGACAGCTGTCCTGCCCTTTAAAAACACCACACCTGTTTTGGGTTTACTGTTTCAAGAAGCACTGTCTGATGGAACCATGCCTTGCAGAAAAGAGCTCTCAGAAGACCTACGATCAAGAATTGTTGACTTGCATGAAGCTGTGAAAGGGTTACAAAAGTATCTCCAAAAGCCTTGATGTTCATGTGTCCACGGTAAGACAGACTGTCTACAAACCTCGGAGAAAGTTTAGCACTGTTGCTACTCTCCCTAGGCGTGGTCGTCCTGTAAAAATGACTGCAAGAGCACAGCGCAGAATGCTGCATGAGGTAAAGAAGAATCCCAGAGTGTCAGCTAAAGACCTACAGAAATCTCTGGCACATGCTAACATTTTTGTTGACACATCTACAATAAGGAAAACATTAAAACAAGAATGGAGTACATGGGAGGACACCACGGCGGAAGCCATTGCTGTCCAAAAAGAATATTGCAGCACGTTTGAAGTTTGCAAAAGAGCACCTGAGATGTTCCACAGCACTACTGGCAAAATATACTGTGGACAGATGAAACCAAGATTGAGTTGTTTGGGAAGAACACACAACACTATGTGTGGAGAAAAAAAGGCACAGCACACCAACATCAAAACCTCATCCCCATTGTGAAACATGGCGGAGGGAGCATCATGGTTTGGGGCTGCTTTCTGCCTCAGGGCATGGACAGATTGTTGTCATTGATGGGAAAATGAATTCCAGAGTTTATCAAGACATTTTGCAGGAAAACGTACGACCATCTGTCCGCCAACTGAAGCTCCACAGAGGATGGGTGATGCAACAGGACAATGACCCAAGATTTTTGCTACACGAAATGGTTTTGTGAGCTGCAGATGTAGAACCCGAGTCCGTCCCTGATTAAACGCCCCCTACCCGCCCCCCCTCCCCCCGACCCCACGATTCTTTACATCCCACCCCCAACTACAAGTAATTCAACAAAACAATGGCTGCAACAGTACAGAATACGCCTTCTGAGTGGCCCAGTCAGAGTCCTGACCTCAACCCAATTGAAATGCTGGCATGACTTGAGAGCGATTGACACCAGCAACATCCCAAGAATATTGCTACACTGAAATGGTTTTGTGAAGAGGAGTGGTCCAAAATGACTCCAGATCGTTGTGCAGGTCTGATCTGCAACTACAGGAAACATTTGGTTGAGGTTATTGCTGCCAAAGGAGGGTCAACCAGTTATTAAGTCCAAAGGTTCACATACTTTTTCCTCTCTGCACTGTGCATGTTTACATGTTATGTGCAATTAAACATGGCAACATCTGATGTTTGTGTAGTATTATGTTCAGCAGACTGTGTTCTTCTATGTTGTGACTTAGATGACGTTCAGAGCACATTTTATGCCCAATTCATGCAAACTTCACGTAATCCCAAGGGGTTCACATACTTTTTCTTGCAACTGTAAGTCAGAAACTAAGAAGTAACTGAATAAATGTAAAAAAAAATGAATATGAGAAATTATAATATACCTTCCTATCAATTTACTAATGCGGGTGCAATGTTATCCGGGCTCCTAAAAAGAAGAAAAAATTGCATTTATTATTTTTTTTCTGCTGTGAACTTATACCTAAAGGGTCCACGCACACTGGCTTAAAAAAACACTGCTGCTAGAGGACTTTACCATTTTGCCTGTAGAAGCAACTAATGTTATCCTATGTGTCCATGCACATTAGGTCATTAGGAGGCATATTTTAAGCTCAGCGTTTAGAGGCAGAACAAAAAATGTTCTGGTATTTTATTGAGTGGTTTTCTGGCAGAAAAAAACCCTAAATGCTCCTAAATGTTAGCACAAAAAAGCTCAAAATTAGCGTTTTTTCTGCCAAGAGCACTAATGGTTTTTTAAGCCAGTGTTCATGGACCCTGAGGATGTCCTGCCTCTACAACTTGATCTAGGGTTTCAATATGAAAAAAAAGATAATAAGTAAATTCATTAAAGAATATAGATACACAAAAATCCCATCTCCCCAGCATTGAAAAACATTTAAATAAGCATCGAGGCTCATGTCATTATATAATTTTACCCATTGCAGACCCTTGACAAATGTTGCATAAGTTTCATTTCTGTATGTGCAAACTAAAGCTTAGTTCAAAGGGTGTTAAAAAAAACAAAACAAAACAAAACAAAAAAACAATCACACTTATTAGTCAGAAGGCTGTGTGAATAATATGGGGTAAACATCTAGGGCTGTGGAAATGAAGTAAACATGAAGCTGGAAAATATTATGGCAATTAGTTTGGTTTTTTTTTGTTTTGTTTTTTTTTAGCATTCTGTCTTTACTAACATTTTATGAAATGTTTACATAAATCAATATCCAAATATAAAAAGAATCAAATACAAAAATAATACAAAAGGAATAAAAGTCAAAATATGTCAACTTTTGGCATACCAAGGATACAGGTAATCGGTATGCTGGGTCCCCAGGGTAAGGGTAGTTCCACAGAGGTATGAGAACATATGTAGAGAAGCCGTAGAGAAACAAAATTCATACAATTGATGAAGACTACTTCAAACAGTGACTCCACTTTATTGGGAGTCAATTGACCCATGTCACAGATCCCAGAGTTTAAGAGTGTAAGGGAGCCTAAGTAAAAAAAAAAAAGAGGGGGGGGGATTAGAAGTAGAGGGGAAGGGTGTTCCACCCCCCCCCCCCCGGAGCGCTGGAGCAGCGCATTAGAAATCTATTTGTCCTGAAAAAAATATGTGTAATCTTTTATGGTCTAATTTTTTAAATGATGTGTAAAGGCCCTGGGACTGAAATAGTTAAGAATCTGGGAAAATATGGCAACCTTTTCTTCTGAAAAAGCGATCTACGTGACTTTCATGTTATCCAAAGACTTAAATACAGTCAGTGACTTGAACCAACTTAACTTTGCTTTTTGCATGCTTGTTTCTGGCAATTGATCCAAAAAAGTGTTAAAATGACACTGAACAATATCCTTATTGTTCAAATATAATCCATACACATCCACTACTTAACCACTTGGCCTCCAGAGGATTTACCCCCGTTCCTGATCAGGCTATTTTTTTGCGATCCGGCGCTACGTTATTTTAACTGACAATTGCACGGTTATGCGCCCAAATTAAATTTACGTCCTTTTTTCCCACAAATAGAGCTTTCTGTCAGTTGTATTTGATCACCTGTGCATTTTTTTATTTTTTGCACTATAAACAAAAAAAGACAAACAAGCTTGGAAAAAAAAAATATATATTTTTGACTTTTTACTATTAAACATGTCCAGTAAAAAAAATCAAAAAATCAAATTTCATCATAAATTTAGGCCAAATGTATTATGTTACATATCTTTGCTATAAAAAAAAAATCCCAATACGTGTAAATTGGGTTACTTGAAAGTTATGCTATGCAGAGCCATACAAAGCAATGTGCAGGAGCTGACAATGGAGAGATCTATATTGTTTACATACAGGTCTCTCCCCCATCGGAAATCCTCGGAGATCGCCGGGTGCCAGCAGGGAATCGCTGGCCGGGACCCGGTGAGTGACAGTCGAGGCCGCAAATACGTGATTTTGAGCACCCGTGCTGCCCTGTAACAGAATTTCTGATATACTGCAGCGCGGAAGCGGTTAATGGCCCGGTAATCTATTTTTCATGAAATTGTTTCTTACTGTGTTTTTTTTTTTCTTTTTCTACCACCATATTAGGTCCTCTGTGGGCTCTTGAACCTCTCCTTTCCCACTCTTCCGATTCCCTAGTGTGGAAAGTGCATATTAGGTGAGGCCATGTGCACTGCTCAATGCACACTACAAATCTGATAATACATAGTCCATCTCAGGACTGAGCAAGACATTTCTATACACAGTGAAACCATAGAGAACAAACATACTGTAGCCACAATCTTAAAAGACATCAAATCACAGCAGCCCAAAAAATTATTAAAAAAAGGATTTGTAGATTTAGAGGAGGGTGAGAGCAACTTAAAGCAGAGTTCCACTCACCCTGTCAAAAATAAAAGTCAGCAGCTACAAAAACTGTAGCTGCTGACTTTCAAAAAACAGCCACTTACCTGCCCCTCGGTCCAGTGGTGTGTCCCCAGCAGCCAGTTTCACCGGCCGTCCTGTATTTCCAGGATTCTGGCATCTTCAGTGTGGGCACCCGGCTGTGAAAGCTTGCGGCTTCACAGCCGGGTATCCACTGTGCATGAGCGAGTAGTGTTGCGCTTTCTGATTGGTCCTATAGTCTTCTGGGACCTGTCACGTGTCCCAAAAGACTACAGGGAGGGAAGGAGGGAGGACACCTTCCATTTCCGATCGCCTAGGAGTCAGACCAGAAGTGGGAGCGGGTACCTGTCAAATTCGGGTACCCGCTCCTCCCCACCCCCCAAAGGTGCAAATCCTTAATGGGGAGTGGGGGAGCAGTCCTTAAAGCAGAACTTCCCCTTTTGGGTGGAGCTTCGCTTTAAGCTACTTTTTTGAGTTAAAAATACATGAATATATATTTTTTTTTAAACCAGAGTTGAGCCTTGGTTCAAACTGATGCGGTGTGGAATTTGCAACCTTTTCAGTGCGAATTCAGCACTGCATCAGAATCGCACCATGTTCATGCAAACCGCTGCGGGTGTGTATGTTAAGTTAACAACACAGACAAAACGCACTGCGATGTGCAGAACCGGATTGCATAGGTGTGAATACCCATGCGATCCGATTCTAGTGTGGACCCAAAAAAGGGTCCTGCACCTCTTTAGTGCACGTGCGGTGCGATTAGAGCCATACAAAATGTATGGCTCCAATCGCACCGCACACAAATAGCATATGATTTGCACAGGAATACAGTGCGGTTCCTGTGTGAATCACATGCGATATACCGCAACGCATATATGTGAACTAAGGCTTAGCGTCACTTAAAATTCAGAGAGAGACAAACAACTATCATTATCAGAAGTAGGTCAGAATCCCCATATTCCCCTCAGCACAGTCTTCATTTAACATCTGTCTGCAGATGTTGTACATGAAAGGGGCACTTGCTTAAAAAGTGAAGCTTTTTGCTGCTGAGCTTTGCTGTGTTTGTTAGCCATTGAGATTTAATTTTAAAATAACATGCATAGACACCCCAAATACCATTACCCAGAATGCCTGGCTGTTTTGTGGTGGGGCAGGTGTGGGAGTCCCGTCTAGTAATTGAGTGTTGTTCATCAACCTGAAGGTTGCAGTACATGAGTCAGAGCACTGATAATGGTTTACATCAAACGCATTATGGCTGCATTGTACTATATAATCCTATTTTATTTTTCTACTATCTGTTCATCCTGCATGCAACCATAAGCAGCTTTCTGGTCTGTTTTATGAAATTTATACTTTTAAATGGCATGTTTCATTACTTGAAAAGAGGTTCTTCTGCTTCCAAGCTACATCTGTGACATTTGTAGCAAGGAGTAAATGTTGCTCTTTCTGCTGTATGCTGGAAAATGTATGCTGTCAATAAGAGTGCACTCACAATGGCAGTTATAACCATGGGTCACCCCCTTGCTCTGGTTCTTTTATGTAGTAACATGGTTGGAGCCACATCGATTTCTAAAGTAGTGCATGCACTACTTTTTGTGCAATTTGCATAGACATCTGTGTCAGATGTTTTGCAAATCGCATCTGAAATCAGCATGTCCCCCGACTTTAAAATCGTGCGACTTCACTGTAAGTCGCACGATTTCAAAGTCTTGCTTGATGTGACCGGGGTGTTAGGGTCCTAACCACTACAGTTAAAACAGAATCAAACACTTTCAATCAAATTTACCTATTTTTAATCTTTATGGTGCTAGCATTAGTAAATTTATAAGAAAGTATATAGTTTTTACTTGTTTTTCTTTTTTTTTTTTACATCAGTTGCTTTCTGGTTTTTGTAGCCAAAATGGTGTCATGCTGCCTAGGAGTCTTCGTGGACATTTTTTTTTCTTTCATCTGGAGGAGGGGTATTCTCCGCTAAGCACACCCTGCTGCCTGCATGCCTGAGCTAAGGGCAGATGGATTCTGGGAAGTAAATGCTACATGAATCATCTGCCTTTATGCAAGAGGGTCACAACTAGGAATGCAAGGGGATTGTTTTTCAAAGTGATTTTTCAATAAAATAAAGCATGGAGAGTTGAAAACATTGCTGGATGGGTGAGTTTGGTTTGAATTTAAAAAATTAATTAAAAAGTGTTTTAAATTTGTGGTGCTCAGATACATTTAAAAGAGAAGTATGGGGTTTGTTTTTTTCCCCAAATTATACTTACCTAGGTGGATGCAGCATTGGCCTGATGCTGCATCCGCCCCCCGCTGGCTCTAAGTGTGAGAACTTAGCAATCACATGACTGCTGGTCGCTGAGCTCTCACAGCCACTCTGAACAGAGAGCAGTGACTGTGAGTCACCGCGGCCTGCGTCTGTCCCCCCCCCCACACTCACTGGAGCACTGGGATGTGGAGGTTGCGGGAGTGGCTGGCTCAGGCTTTCAGCAGTTTGGTGAGAGACTGAGCCAGGTGCCGCTCCAAACTCTGGGGTGGATCCCAACTTTAAAGTCAGGATCTTTCCCCAGCCTGGACTGGCTGGGTGATATCAGCCATCAGCAGGCTTCAGCCCGCTGTCAGCTGAAAATGTGTCACAGTAGTGCAGAAGTGTGATCCACAGGAGAAGTACAGTCAAAAGTGCTTTGGCTGTATTTCTCCTTTAAGCTCTGGTTTAAAGTGAAGCTGAACTCTGGAAACTGTGTCTAAAAACAGACAGAAACAAGGTCAAATGACTAGTCACCTCAGCAGTATTGCCTGTGGCCTCCCGATAGCTTATCTTTTCCCTATTACTGACTTACCATGCCTTGTTCTGCACTAACTCTCTGTGGATGCAGCCATCTTGGTAATGGCAGGGCATTGCTTTCTTCAGTTAGATCCTCCAGCAAGGAGAACAATGGGCTACTCGGTAGTGACAACAGCTAATTTTTCCTCCAAGTCTCCTGAGGTGGAGGCAACAGAGCCTTAGATCTCACACTGCAGATATACAGCTATAAGGCTAGAGGCACAAGAGTGCCTAGGTTTTTGGACAGATTTTTTCAGGGTACTAAAATAAGTTTTTCTAAAACTTAAAAATGTTACTGTTTGAGTTCAACTTTAAGGAGAAAAGTACATTAAAAGTGTGGAATGCTGCCTTTAATGGCATGTCCTGGCTTGATTTTTTTTATTTGTTTTCTTTCATAATCTTACTGCATAGGTGTGAACAAATGTGGTGCAGTCAGCACAGTTGAAAAATGCCTGCAGTGGTTGGAATTCTAAATATGGCCCTCAGTGTCACCTACACATAACAGCACATTACTTTAGTAATTTAGCTTGTGATACCTGTCTATATTAATTGTACATGTGAATGAATTTGTTATAATCAAGTAAAATATAAATATGTATGAGCTCTGATGGGAGTGTAAGCAGCCCTGATGGATGATTTACTAAAGAAGTAGAGACTGTTCAATTAGCAAAATTAATTTTCATTTTGCAATGTGAAAGTTCTCTAATCTTCGTAAATAAAGTGAAGCTATGATCAGTACAGTCACCTAATCATGTGCAAATCATGTTTGTGAATTCAAAGTGAAAGCAATTTTACTTAAAATTGAAGTATGGCCAAAGCTGTTTTTGCCATACTTCTCACGAGTTACAGGAGTATACTTACTAGTGCTATCCTGTGACCCAAAATTGTCTGACAGCAGGCTAAAGTCTGTTCCCGGCTGATATCACAGGTCCACTCCATACCCTCTAGGGATCCCAACATTTTTGGGAAAATGTTGGGATCTACCTAGATGTCTTACAGGCAGCTGGCTCAGCCTCTCAGCTCACTGCTGAGAGCCTGAGCAATCCGCTCCTACCCCCTCCCCAGCCCAGCACTCCACTGAGCCCTTGGGGGGCAGTGCAGAGAGTGATGACTGCCCCTCCAGTTACTGCTCTGTGCTGTGCCTGAAGACCAGGAACTGAATGATCAGCAGTCAGGTGATCACTCATTTCTCGGGCTTGGAATCAGTGGTTAACAGCTTGCAGCATCGGACGGCTGCTGTAGCAGGTAGGTAAGTATATATGTTTATTTTTTTTACATTACACCACTTCTTGTAATTTACTAAGCTCAGTGATCATTCATTTTCCAAAGGCATATCTGGGTTCTATGCCACCCCCCCCCCCCAGCAGTATGATATTTATTTATTTTTTAAACTTACTGGCCAGTCACATGGTGACCCGGGTCCTCTTTCTTTTAAGTCTTCTCCTGGTAGTGGGCAGTCCTGGATGATGCAGAGAGAAGCAATGACATGATAAAATCAACACTGCTCTGTGCATCAGTATGCCAAGAATACAGGATGCTGTGGTGCCCTTCAAAGGGTAGCACCGTGACATCCTATACTCTGTCACCCAAGTTGAGTGGCACTGGGTGTCATTAAATCCAAAAGACAGAGGATATCTTATCACAGAGAATGGGTACTGCAGGGACAGCTCTGGACTGATGATAAGTATTGCAGCCACAGATATTGTTAAACTTTCACTTTTTTAGCCTGGTGCTTTAAGTACATTTCCTTTAGTAAATTAGTTCTACGAATGGAGCAACTGAATGTTATAGCTAGTGCTGTCTTTAATGAGACCTATAAAAATAGCTATAGATTGTGATTTATATGAGGTCAAAGAGTTTCCAGTTTTTCAGAGCAGATCCATGCAAATGAAAAGCAAATGTGAATGTCACATCAGTGATTTCTTTCTGTAATGACTGGATGCATTCAGCTTCACATCATCAAATGGAGAATTTTAAAGAGAAGAGAAACTTTGCAGGTGTAATAATGGGACAATAACAGCAAGCCCTGACAGCTATAAGATAGGAGTTTGATTATGGCAGTTAGGCTGATTTATACACATAACTGTCTTTGTTATACAAATTGCATTCCAAGCATATGTAGACAAGATTGTGTTATTTTTTTTTAAAACCATACCATAAAGATGACTTGTATAGTGTATAGTTCACTATTCTGTAGCAGTATGAACACATTTGCTTTTCGTGACTGAATATGTGAAAGCAATGAATAGATATTATAATACAAACATACAGAGCTGATGAACTTGGGGCCCTTTCCCCTTTTTTTTACCCACATCAGTATTGCATACTGTATCAAATTGGGATGGCCAGTAGTTTGCCATTTCTGCAGCTCACTGTACAAGAGTGAAATACAATGTACTGTACCTGTATCCAAATATATACAACTTTAAATGCCGTTTTCCTATTTCAATTTTAAATTATGTCCCATAAGTCTGTTTCTACCACCAAGTTGTATTTATTTATGTTCACCAGCAACAGTATATACGGGTAAGTTACAGTAG